GGGGGGGGGGGGGGGGGGGGGTTGATGAACTGAAAAATAAGGATGGTCTAAAAGAAGTACGTTAAAAGACGAGGTTTATATATACATCAAAGAAACAGGGAAGACATGAAAGAAAGCACGGTGCTTTTCAACTGCAGAAAATGTGGGGAATTAGTCTACCATTTTTTTTTTTTTTTATACTCTTAAGTATGCACATTATCATGATAACTATGAATCTCTTAGTTCAGCCAATATACACACTAGGCGTTAAGAAGGAGAATGCCCGACTTCTCTGCTTTTCTCTAATATCAGCCAATCAATCATGAAGAAAGAGATGCCAAGAACTGATACCTTGCTCCTCAACCAATTGCTTTATAACGCAATGCAACTCCTTGAATCTTCCTTTACCCGCTAGAATATGAGAAACGGCAAGCTGGGAGAATCCGGAATGCCGAAATCCGTACTTATTTCTCAACAAATAGAAAAATGCCACAGCAACATCAGGATTCTGAATATTCAAACTCTCAAGAACGCCGTCCACTACAGTTTCACTCAAAGTAGAAACTACAGTTCGAAAGTTACATCCACCAACATACGCTCTAAACCCAAAGGAATTTAAACCCGTAAGAATCTCACAAACTGGGTCGTTCTGGCCCAGAACGAAGGAGGGAGTGACAGATTCCGCTTCGAGGCGGGCGGCAGAAACTGAAGGCCTAGCAAGGATCACAGAACTAAAAGAAGCGAGTATCCCGCATTTCCTCAGAGAATGTAATGGCTTCCATTGATGAATACGGCTAAGCATGGAAATGGGAGCAGGATTGGAAGAAAACCCTGCCGATTTCTCGTCTAAGACAACGTGAAATTAAAAGCAACAAAGATAGGGATAAGTTAGAGGGATCGGAAAGCAGTATGAAACGTGGTAAGGAAAGGGAGTTAGGGTTTTAGCGAACCGATGGGTTTCGCGGCAATTCTGAAGGGCGGCAGCCACTGCTGGTTTCGGGTTGCTGCCGTTTTCGGCCATAGATAGCGCGAGCAGATTTGTGTAATTTCCCCAAAGGGCATAAACGCACCGTTTTATTTGGTACGACTTTATAGTCCTCAAACTTAATTTATTGGGTGGCTTAGCTTTTGCCTAATTAAGTTATTAAAATTTTATATATTTACAGGTAAATATTAGGTAAAGTTAAAATATTTGGTAAAAAAAAAATATAAGTGAAATTTTAAATGAGTTTAAGAGGTCTAAGTTTAAGAATCAAACCCATTAATTTATCCAATAAAACTTGTATTCGGCCGCTCTTTCTCTAAGGTGGAAACATGGATTAGGTTTTGTAACTCAATTACTCTAACGTGGAAACATGGGTTAGGTTTCGTAACTCAATTCACGTTTAGTTTAAGTCGTTGAAAACCTTTTTCTTTTCACGTAGAACACACTTTTTAAAAACCGTTATTTCAACTAGTCTCTACGTCCAATACATGTCCAAAACGAAACGTTATTTAAGAACTTGACAACGACGCTCGTAGAGCGGAAGCTAGAGCATATGAAGCACCTATATATATACATATAATGGAAGAAGAAGGCCCAAGAAAAGTAATGGATGGCATATCTTAATCTATGCAGGCAATGGGTAAGCCTCAAACTTTAAGGTAAAGGAGTAGGAACTAAGAATGTCATGCCCTGATGGCCCCATTCACACTTGCTTTGAGACAAACAGTACAACTAAAAAACAGGATTATTGCCTGTTTTAACTTCTTTTCTTCTCTATGTTTTGGATTTTCCCCATTTCCAGTCCTTTTTTAGCTCATCTTTTACTCATAATGGAGCCTAACAGTCGTTAAAACCCAACTGCCAAACACCAAAGATTATAATCATACAGAAACGAGGAGCTTTTCTACTAATTTGTCTCCAAAATTGAGGAGATTTCGAGTATAAAACAGTGAAGATATTATAAACTTGTATGGGGTTTTTGCTTGGAAACTAAGTAGCAAATATGGTGATCTATAATTTTGAAGCTCACATTTCACCAACCAAGTATGGTAAGTGTGGGAAATATGGTAAGCCAACTCAAACATTAAACACTTTATAATCTGAATCCAGTTTTGTTTCAAATTGTGCCATTAAGCCTTGTCTTCTTTGTTCAGTATGTCATCCAAAGCCACTGTTAGAAGGCGAATTCTGGAGAGGCAAACATGTTCTAAAGAGAAAGATAGAACAAGCCAAAACATATTGTCTAAACACCTTAAGAAGATTTACCCAATTGGGCTTCAAAGAACCACTTCATCACTCTCTTTATCTTCATTATCATTGTCTTTGTCCCAAAATTCAAATGATTCTTCTCTTACAGACTCCTCAATCCAACTCGATCAGAAGATTTCGTATGCGATTCGTTTGATTACGCCGCCGCCTCCTGAAAGAAGAGAAGCTCCATTGCCTAAGAGTGTCCAACAACAATGTCAGGAACTTGGTGATGGGGAACTCAGGAGGTGCAACTGGATCACTCATACCAGTGGTAAGATTACACTTAGTTCTGATATGGACTTAGAATACTTTCCACCACATTGCTAGACTAGTTCATGATTGACGTTTCTATCTCGTGTACTCGACACAGATAAAGCCTATGTATCCTTTCACGACGAGTGTTGGGGCGTCCCGGTGTATGACGACAAGTAGGTGATCTAAGTAACTTTTCCGTTTATCCTGCATATCAGTTTATAGATCTGTGAGTTGACATTAGAGAAAAATTACCATACAGCCGACTTTTCGAGCTACTCGCTCTATCGGGGATGCTGATGGACTACAATTGGACTGAAATTGTGAAAAGAAGGGAACTATTCAGGTAATATTTTCTGATCCAATGTGTACTTTGGATGAACATCTATGAGATGATAAATGTATATATACACATCTGGTTGGTCATAGAGAAGCTTTTGCTGGATTTGAGGCAAGTACTGTGGCCAACATGGGGGAGAAAGAGATATCAGATATAGCATCTGACAAGGCCATTATGCTGGTGGAGAGCAGAGTGAGGTGCATAGTAGACAATGCCAAGTGCATATTGAAGGCAAGCTAGATCACCTCATTTTTTAACCAACTCTTTCACAGAATGTATATTAACAAGAACAACTGGTTTTTTGATTCAACTGCAGATAGCTAGAGATTTTGGGTCGTTCAGTAACTATATGTGGAGCTATATGAACTTCAAACCAACAATAAACAGATTTAGATATCCAAGAAATGTTCCCCTGAGGAGTCCCAAAGCGGAAGCCATTAGCAAGGACATGGTGAAGCGCGGTTTTCGGTTTGTTGGGCCAGTGATTGTCTATTCGTTCATGCAGGCGGCAGGGTTGACGATCGATCATCTTGTGGATTGTTTTCGGCATGGCGAATGCGTAAATCTTGCAGAAAGACCATGGAGACATATCTGAGTTCGACATTTCCTACTTTCCCTTCAAAGTTGTGGTTGTTTTGCTTTTGTGAGCATTAAGTTAACAATATAAAAAATTATGCATAGAGAAAGAGAGAGGAACTAAGATGGAACTTCTCTGCTTCTTTGTTTATCAGTTTCTGCTAGAATGGCCAATTCTGCAACTGAGCAACTCATCAGTTGATATCAAAAAGTGCAGAGCTCACCATTACAACAGTTGCAGAGCAGCCATGGTTATCGACAAGTTGAAGCTGGTGGAGAATAATAAGATTGGTGTATTTAATTTGTTTATGCTTCTAATATATAACTAATTATTTTAGATGTTTGGTGTGAATCTCTTGGGTCAAAATTGCTTATCTATGAGCTTTCTCATACATTCTAAACAAGCTCTCATTTCCTAAGACATTAAGAACCATGAATGTTCTTTGTTCATGAAGAACTTCATGATACAACTAAGTTCATCAATGCAGACATGACCATAGAAAACTGCAGTCTAGTTACAGTTCATAAGATCCAAATGTGTAATACAAACCTCCTTATATCATCCCTCACCTCGAGAAATGTCATTCGAGTTTCGAGATAGCACTCCAAGCCTGGTCCTTCAAATTGGCTGAGAATCAAGTCCATAGATCATCTTTCTCCCCCATCTGCCGGGCCAAAAAAGCTTTACCACATCACTGATATGTTCTTTATCTTATTTGAAAGGCTGTATGATAAGATGTAGGCAGTATTATACTTAGAGATCTTTTACTAAGATTAGTTCAAACTCTATCGAAGTCATCCTGCTACAAAGGATTCTCTCGATCTGTGAGATCCCACATATCAATTGAAAAGTAGAACGAAACATTTTTTGTAAGGGTGTGGAACTCTTTCTCTAGCAAACGTGTTCTAAAAATTTTGAGGGGAAGGCCGAAAGGGAAGACAATATCTGCTAGTGGTGAGCTTGAGCTGTTATACAGTGAAACTCTATCGAAGTCATCCACTGAATTATAGTGAAGCCTTCAACCATTTTGTTGTTTGAGTTTGAGATTGCTTAAACTTCTCTCCAAGGGAAACAGGAAGATAGGATTCAAGCCCCACAATTGTCTCTATCCGCCTCCTCCCAATCAATGAATCATTTTAGCTTGGATTATAAACCATCCAAAGAATAAAAGACAGGTTGCCAAGAAAAAACAAAACAGGTCAAATCCAGAACTTGTTCCACCTCAGCTGTTCTTTCACCTGTTATAATCTCTATCCACACTTTTTCCTTCCCTTCCACCATTCTTCAACCTAACTACTTGATTAACTCAACTTAATCCCAGTAATGGTCGGGTATGTTCAATTAATAGCGACTGTTGAATTGCATATGCTCACCAAACATCCTAGTAGTAAGTAGTGTCTGAAGTTTGTTAGATGGTACTCACCAAAAAATGAAATCCCAACAAGAACAGAGCAGGCTCTCCACCACCTACAAAGAAACTAATACAAAACGATCCAGTTAGATTGATGAATCGTAAGATCCAAGAAGTTCGATAATCGTATGATCGGTTCATACGTAGGTAGTAGCGAGAAGGATGGAGCTGACAAAGAGAATGAGCAAAACAGTGGAAGAAAAGATCAAAGTCTGGTACAGATCCACCATTTGGATGAATTTCATTCAAATCAACTGGAACCTAATAATTCATCCATGGGTCCCAAACAATGAATGAAATTTCTTCACTGATTATAGCGACCCTACTTTGTTTCTTCTTTTTATGCAATAACAAATAGCTTTAATCATTTTTCCACTAGTTAATACTTAATACAAGACAGAACATGATGACTCCTGTCCTTGTCGAATAATACAGGCTCAAAGGGTTGAACATTACTGAAAGAAAAAGGGAAAAGAAACCGACACGACGGCACAAAAGAGCAAAATAAGAACAGCCTACGGGCGGCGGCCTACTGTATTAATAAGAAAAGAGATGCGATACAACCGAAAAGTCCAGAGGTTATCAGACTGTCCACAAAATATATTTTAGTAATTAAGAAGTCTACAAGAAATTCGGGTTAACAAAAAGAAATAGGGCATCATATTGGCACACAGCATCTGGCTGAAGGAAAAAGAATATAAGAATGAAGTTAAAGCAAGGTACAGAACATAAAGTACCCCTATTTACATTGCACCTCTTTCAGGGTTTTAAGTTTGCATACAATTTATTTATCAAACAAGTTCACAAGTCAAAAGGGGAAGAAGAAGAGGGCAGGAGGGAAATACCAAGGAATACAAACAATTCTACTCCGCTGATGAGAAGAATATATACAGCAACTTCCTCTTACTGAGCTCCAACATGAGCCCTAAGTCGAGGCTTAAAACCCATAATGCAAGCCAATCCTAATACTGAGTCGTCCATAACTTCCATAATTCTAATGCTATGATTTAATCTATAATGGCTCTATCATCACAGCAACACACTGAACATCGTCATCTCAAAACTGGCAAGAAGTACCAAGTCTCTGCCTCTGCCTCGGCCCGAGAGCTGCAGATTTGCGTTTGGCAAATGCTGGGCGAAGCAGCTCTGGAAATTTATCCAGGAACAGCGACCAGTCTTCCTCGTTCATATCTCCAAGCTTTACAAAACTGACACTTGGAGGAAACTGCTCGTTTGCACTCCTGTGCCCTGCAGATGTGTTGGTAATATATCCAAACTCAGGTTTTGTGACCTGGTGGTTTTGATTTTTCTGGTTCTTATTGCCCAGTACGGTATTCTTGAGAGACATAGAAAGCTTTGACACAGAAATGGGTTCAGAAGGTGGAAAGATGCCTGTTTCTCCTAGCTCCTCCCCTCCACTATCTTCTCCCCCTTCCTCAATGCTTTCCTCCAATTTCGAGAGTGGATTGCGTCCATGCAGGCCTCCAACAAGTCCACCAAGCTGGTAATGTGACCAGCCCAAACACTGATCCGCTGTCATACTTGAGTTATAGTCTAATTCTCCATCCTCACAGTCTAAGTCAAACTGGAAATCCTCATTGCCCCACTCATATATTGGAGAAGAGAACTCCCTCTCTGCTATCATCTGCCTAGCCTCAAGACATACTAGCTCAAGTTCACTGGGTTCCTCCTCTCCACTACGAAATTCTCTGCTCATCATCTCACCAATCTCAGCAAGACAGAGACCAGAAGCAGCAGCTTCCTTCAGAAAAATTGTACACAGTACCAAAACCCGAAGACAAGCTTCACGGATCATGGGTAGCTCCATCCTAAGCATCTCACAGTCCTTTATCGGATCAAGATTTTCAATATACTTGAGCTCATCATCTGAAAATGGGATTGATGCTTGAGGCCAATGAATCCACTCAAAGTACGGATCCTCTAAAGTTTCCGGCAAACAAAGACCGTGATCTATAGGAATAAGCTCCACTTGTCCAAAACTTCCTATTCCGTCAAGTTTCCGAACTAAGAGATTCCCAGCATGCCTATCCGTATTAAAAATCCTAATATCTAAAATACCTATACGATGAACAGCCGCGACTGGGAAACTAGAAGTCCCATGATCACTGGCATCAAAATCATGTGGAATGAATTGTTGGAAGGAAGCAATTTTACTAACTGGCTTTTTCTTGTGAGCCTGAGGCTTGTTACCATTCACCCAATCATTTACATTGAAGATTGAGTGAGTGATCTTCACTAAGGCTGTCGGAGGCACGTTTGCAAAATGTTCATAGTCAAGAAGATAAGCTGCAACTTCTCTGAATCCAGTCTCCCCAACACGCACAGAGCGCTTAAATCCAGGTTGTCCAAGAGCTTTTCCAACAAAACCTTTTGGATTATTTGGTGCAAAAGGTTCTTCATCAGTTGGCTTCACAATTGCGACACTTTCACCTTTCCCGTTCCTAAAGTAGTATGCACCACCAAGCCCACTATGAACAGGAATCGGATCAATACCCAACTTTATACCTTTCACAATCTCTTTGACTAACTGTCGCGTGCCAGCAAAATGATCTGGATGCCCTAATATCTCAATAGGTCCACTCTGGTCTCTAAGACGGAGATCCTTCCCAGTGGGCGAGAGACATGGAGTAGATGAACTTCTGTGCAACAGATTTCTCGTGAGGAGAAGAGGAGAATCATTTCGAATGGCACTAAGATCATTCTTCAATATCACATCCCCAAATGTTAGGGAGCTCTCCTCTGTGGGAATATTGAGGGCAAGCTGCAACCTCCTTTTCACCGTATGAGCATTGTCACTGCGATCTAATTCCATTCCCAGGACACATCCCGTATCAGTTTGCACAAAAACTTGTCTCCTTCCAACTGGCTGTTTTTCTTCCATTCCATTTTTTGAGCGGTAAGCCCTGCTGAGTGGGCTCTTGAGTGCTGCAACTGCCATTTGAGTCTGAACTGGACTGTCCAACTTCCGTGACATTAAATAATGAAAGAAAAGAACGTGTTTGCAGCCAAATGACCGAGATGGTCAAGGAAGAGAAATGAATTCCCTCCCAAGAAGGCGCCCAACTCAAAACAGAATGATGGTTGAACAAAACCAGAGTCTAGGACCTCGAATAATCATTAATAGATAGGAGAAGCCTCAATCCTTGCCATCGTTCTCAAAGAAACAATACCAAAAACACACCACAGACACAAGGATGCAGCCGAACACCGTATCTACAGATTCATCTCGCCAGATTCACAGCACCAGATAGTCTGCGGAAATATAACAAAGAAAAAAAAATCAACACGTGACCAGAAGAAGCAAGAATATTGATACATAATTAACTTCAATTGGAAGAGAGTCCAAAGAAAAGATGAATTTATCTAGACTCGACAATTAAGAATCCCAACACTCGAGCTGGGAATGAGATTTGATAAAAAGATGCAAGCATCAAGAACCCAAACTGATGCATTATTTACGGTCCTTTTCCATGAGAAACCAAATTCGTTGTAAGATCAAAATATCAATATTTGCAGAAGCAAGCTAGAATGAACTACACATTCTTCGATTAACTTATACGTCGTCCAGAGTTGGCAAAAGAAAGGGCGAACAGTTCTCTATTAAAGTAAAACTACAAGGCCCCGGGGAAAAAATTTCAAAGATAGTTTTTTCCTGAGATAAAGAACGAGGAAGAAAAAGGATCTTTTCTCTAACCACTTCATCATGAAATCAAACAAATGATCGGAACGATATCCTCATTCGCGGACAAGAACAAATCCCAACAGTTAAACGAAATCTGTGAAAGGTGCACCTTCTCCTCCCCTCCCCCCTCTCCTCGGGGCAGGAGAGAATATCCAAAAGAGACCAAAGCTCAATACGACGTTCTGGAGTGGAGACTGATCAGAGAAATGAAATTCAACAATGAGAAGCAAGTAAAAGAGAGGGAAAAAAAAGGCATCATTCATTTAACTCATACTCAAAAAAAAAAACAAACATTACTCGGTGAGAATAACAAAATCGAAGAAAGAACTCACCAGAACTATATAGATCTTTCAAGATCCGATACAAGAACGAATCAGATTCACCACTAAAATCGTCGCTATCCGTGAATCGATGCGGCAAGAACTTTGCAAAAAACAGAGAATGAGAAGGCTTCAATGAATCAAATCAAATCAAATCCAAGAAAAGGGCATCAAACAATCGCCGGAGCTAAGTGATGATAGTTGTCGTCGCAATGAACGAAAAAAATACAAAAAACAAAAAATTCAGACAAAAATCCGTTCGCAGTTTCTCCTTTCTTTCCCTCGCTTTTGTTTCTCTTTTTATTCTCCGTTCGCTCTGTTCCGCTTCACAGAAATTCGTCTTCTTGGAATGTTCTTTAACTCGAGTGAGAGAAGCCTGGTTAAAATAGCTAACCCTGGTTAGAGGCCGACCCACTCTCTCTCTGCCCTTTCCGGTTCGAAGACTCTCGAAGGGGTGGGAGAGCCGTCGGATGAAGAGAGATATTGGAATTAAACGACCGTAGGATGAAGGAAACAGTGACGTGGAGACAAGAGATTCGTGAATGCGTGGCAAGGTCACCGTCGAAGGGTGGACACCTGGTGTAATCAGCGACTGGGTAGGGCGGGTTTTCTTTCTTTGAGTTTGGGCCTTCGAATCTCTAGTTCTGTGTACTACCCAGTTTCCTGCCCAATCTGACCGTCCATTTTAATACCATTGAATTTACCAAATTGTCCTCTTTTTTTTTTTGCCTTTTTCTTTTTCTTTGGTTATTTTTAGTTAAATAAAATAAATTATTACACTTTAAATCAACACCAACCTCTCTACCACTTTTAAAACATCTATTTTTTTTTCCTGAACTTGAATTTAAAAACATAAAAACATTAATTTCTTAATATCTTCACACTGAGGCTATTTTCGTCATTAAATTCTTATAAACTTTAACCATCCAATATCATCCATTTATATTAGACAGCAATGAAATTATTTATTTTCTCGAGCTCAAAATTCAAATTTCTATTTAAATATATTGTAAATTTACTTATATGCCCCCCATACAACTGAAAATTATGAAGTAGGGCCCATCTTACTTCCATTCCACTAAGAACAATCATTTAAAAATCTTATTAAATTATCAGAACTAAATAAAGTATAAATAAAATAAAAAGATGGAGGCCATAGCAAATCAAATCAAATCAATAAAGAACAAAGAAGACTATTACAGAAATTAAAAAAGATATACAATATATATATATATATTGAAGTAATATAATAAAGTATTTTATAATAGATACAATTACCAAAAAGCCCCGGAAGAATAAGCAAAAAAGTGAATGAAAAGCGGTTTTTTAAAATTAATTTCGTCAAAAGAATGGGAGAGAATATGATTGCAAAATGGCCTTTTTTATCTTTCAAACCTTCTTTTGCTTTTGCTTTTGCTTTTGCTTTTTTCTTATAATAATAATAATTTTGTTGGCTTTTTTATAATTCAGAAACTGTCATTTTATATTTGGCATGCCAGCTGGCTGTTCAAACCCAGCAGTCAATTTTTATTTTTATTTTTATTTTTATTTAAAAAATGAAATAGCCTTAATTGGGTTATTGAAGTAGAATTTTAATTTGTAATAATTTAATTTTTATATTTTCAAAATAATAACAATTTCGTCAAATTATTTTATTTCATAGATTAATTATATAAATGGATAATGAATAAATGTGTGATGGGAACATTTTCTTGAGGATAGAAAGGGACGGAAGGGGCACGTGGAGGTTGAGAGTGTCGGAGAGGTTGACCAATGGGAAGGGAGATGCAGCTGAGTCAGCGTCCACGCATGAACGAGTCACGTGCCGTTTCCGGATGGCACGATGCCCAATGCCAATACAAGACACTACACGACACGACAATATTACTTGTTTGTAATTCCTCCTAAAATTTTATGTCCTACGCGTTGGTATTATCCTACCACGTGTCTTTTGATTCTTCGAAACCTCGGCGTGGACAAGACAACCTTAGCTCACGGTTGTCTCCCTTCAAACCTTCATTTCTGAAGTTCTTAAATCTAAATTCTTCGATTAAAATTATATACATGAAGACAAATTTATGATAAAAAAATAATTTTTTTTTTCTGATATTAATCTCGAGTTTAAATATAGAATTGAAGAAGGGAACCAAACATTCATTACGAAAGGATAGAAACTTCTCCCTAATAGACTCATTTTAAAACTTCGAACGAAACTTAGAAGAAAAAGTCCAAAGAGAACAATATTTGCTGGAAGTAAGCTTTCGTTGTTTACAAATGGTATTAGAGCCAAACATCGGACTATATGGCAAGAATGATGTTGGGCCCCAGTGGGGGTGGATTGTGAGATCCCACGATCGGATAGAGAGAAGAATGAAGCATTTTAAAACCTTAAGGGGAAGCCCAAAAAGGACGATATTTGCTAGCAACGAACTTGAACTGAACAAGGCCCTTGTCTACCTTGAAGCAAGCAGCAGATAAGATATTGAACATAATTGGTTCGCACTCGAGAAGGCAACATAATCTAAAGCAATATGGAGCAAAAACTGCCCAAGTTGAGGCCAGAGGTCAATTTACAAGTCCAGAACTGAAAAATTGGCACTTCATGAGGAGGACGGACTACAACATCAATGTGTTCTACACAGAAAAGCGTATCATAAGTAATTGGATGCCAGAGTTTATATATCTACGGAAGAATCAATGAATAGACAGTAGGGGTTCCTCGTTCCTTACCGTTACGAAAAAGTTGAATCCCGGTCCGAAGTTCCAAGGACTTTGATGAGAAAAGCGTAGTCGTAAGCTGTCTCTTCACATCCACCATAGAGACCACCTTCACCAAAGTGTCCTCCAACCATATTGGTCTTCAAAATTGCAGAAGTCGAACAACGGGAGCATGTCGTGTCTCGGATTTTTGCCACCCATTTGGCAGCTTCCCATACTCCAACCCTGAGGATGAAGTTCAACAGTTTGCAGCATATGTTTATCGAAATCGAAGCATGAACAAATAAATATGCTAATGTGATAACAGTGTAAGAAGTTGAAAGGAGAAAAGAATTTACCTTGCATCACGGAATGAGGCTGTGACAAGCATTGGAGGATAACAACTTCCCTTAGAGATATTGTCGTAAGGAGAGTAGCTCAAGATAGACTCAAACTGCATTGCTATCTCTGGGTTTCCGAATTCTTCGTAGTCGAGAATGGTGAGTGGTAAACTGGGATCTAGTAGCGTGTTACATATGTCAAGAAACGGAACCTGAAAAATATTACCAAAACTTTAGTTGCCATAACTAAGTATATGACAATAACAGCAGAACAAGCTCACTGCTAGTAAATATTGTACTTTTGGGCTTCCCCTCAAGGTTTTAAAATGTGTCTACTATGGAGAGGGTCTAGCCCTACTCGGACCAGTGCCTCGCACCGTCCGGTGACTGGCTCTGATATCATTTGTAACAGCCCAAGCCCACCATTAGCAGATTTTGTCCTCTTTGGGTTTTCCTTTCTGGGCTTCCTGTCGTGAGATCCCACCTCGAATGGAGAGGGGAATAAAACATTCCTTACAAGGGTGTGGTAACATTTGTCTAGTAGACGTGTTTTAAAACCTGAAAGAAAGCCAAGAAGGGAAAGCTTAAAGAGGACAATATATGCTACCAGTGGACTTGGACGGTTACAAATGGCTAATACTGGGCAATGTGCAAGCGAGAACGTTGGGCCCCTAATAGACGCGTTTTAAAACCTCTCCCTAACAGACACATTTTAAAACCATGAGGCTGACGACACTACGTAACAGGCCAAAGTGAACAATATCTTCTAGCAGAGATGTTAACATATGGTAATGTCGTTAGAAAGGCCTGATATTGCAGTGTAGTATCAAAGAGAAAACACATTAGTGATGGTCTTTCAAGATGCATTTCCTATCTACTTTACAAGATGTGAAGACCAATGAGTAGGCAAGTGTATGGCTCAAACTAACCTTCAAAATGGCTGCTCCAAACAGGTCAGGATGCATGTTGATAGCAGCTCCAACAAGAAGGCCTCCTGCACTGTATCCAATGGAACCCAGCCGATTCTTATGAACATAGCCATTATCAATGAGAAAATTCGCACAAAAGATAAAGTCTTGTATTGAATTTTGTTTCTGAAGCCCACTCCCACATCTATGCCATGAAGAATCACCACCACCACCTCCCCTGCACACCCAATCAAGGTTCTAAACTAAGCTTCAATGCAAGAAAACGAAACAAAAAACCTGTTTATAACGATAAAAACTACCTGATGTCTGCAAATGCCAGCACGAAACCACGATCAAGTAAACTCAGGCGAGAAGGACACCAACTTTTATCAAGAACCTCACCATATGCTCCATACCCTTGTAGAACTCCGGGTGACCGTCCTTTCTGAAAAGTCGAAGGGGAATACAATATGGTCAAGGGTACTCTGATTCCATCATGTGATATAACTTCCTTCCTCTCACAACAGTATGAATCAGAAAAGTCCTTCCAAGTTTCGGATTCACGAGTCTCGAAGTTTTCTCTTTTGTTTTGCGCATCTGAAACTTTCTCGATACCCAACGCATCTGGTTGATATGTTTTAAGTTTAATATCATGCTTAACTTCTACTTCCTCTTGCTGAATGATCGAGAAGACCCTTTTAGACATATCATAATCAACAATCAAATCAGGCATCTGGTAGTCCCAAGAGAAGACAGAAACTTCAGTAAGTACATGCTAGGAGATTCTATGAATATGCATGAATGTAAGATTATAAAGTAATACCACTGGAGACGAAAGCACCACACGGTATAACGAGCTCGTAAAGTCATGGTTCGATCCTGGAGCTACGCTGCAGGAGTTTGAGGGAAGAGGGAAAAACCATGGGTCGAGTTTCTCGATCTCCAAACGATGCTACAGAACAAGTAGATATGAGATGATATATAAAATTTGTTATGCAGCTTATTTAGCAATAGAACAAGCAGAGAAAGACAAACACATACCTTATGATTAGCATCTAAAGGCAAATTGATTGAACATAACATTGGAACACCATTCTTATTGACAAAAAGCACAAGATGTCCACTAAAAACGTCCATGTCATGTATACTGAAATCTTTGCTCTGAAGGACGATATCCTAAAATATAAACACGTGACGAGTAAAACAATGATAAATAAAGGGGCGCAGCGCTGATATCATATGTGGTACAAGTCGAGCATAAAAGTAACCTGCCAATTTGCTGACTTGATATCTTCAACTCGACATCGAGCTACGTAATAATCTTCCTTCGAACAATCCCCTTTCTTTTCAAGAGGAGCATTTGTTAGGATATAAAAGAAACCACAATGATGTTCCAGAAAGTATTGAATACCCGGAATGCGTTTGTGTATTCTTTGCAAACCGCTTAACCAGTTGTTAGCATCTATAATATAAACCTGGGTTGACAAACCAGTAAAGTTTCAGAATAAAAGTCAAAAGCTGGCTTAATTAAGATCTTATTGAAAAAGGGAACCTTCCTCAGAAGAAGTCCTCGAGTTCGAATTCACGGTTATGAACTTCCCATCTTTTGTACTCGTTATGTCGACACAATAGTTGGGATCATTTTCAACAAACACCAAGACATCTTCTCCGGTGTCGCTGAATCCAAGTTTTGTGGAGAAAACCCTGTCGAATGGCAGGTAAATGTCAGGTAAATGAAGTTCTTGAAAAGAAGGTTAAGAATGATGAGAGAAATTTGCCTGTAAGGCCTCTGATTCTCATCTGCTTGTGTGTAGAAAAGTGTCCTGCCTTCTTCCGCCCAAGCCAAACTTACAACTCCCTCCTGTAACTTGGGAATCATCAGTCCACTTCTCAGGTCTTTAATCTGAAGCATGAAGTGTTCACTGCCTGTAATATCAACTGTGTATGCTAGAAAGTTGTGGTCTGGTGAAACACGACAAGTTCCCACGTGAACATAGCCTGCAAATATGAGCAACTCATCGTAAAATTTAAGGAAATGTCATAATTCTGATAGCTAAGTATGAATGAAAATGAAAATTAACTGGATGAACAGAACTTACCATATTGTTTAGCAATTTCATTCCAATCAAGTAAAACTTCCTCCTGCTTCCCAGAATTTCCTTTAGCAAATTGGGTAAGTTTCTTTAACCAATTGGTTTTCTCGTTCTGTAGCCTACGGCATAGAACTGGGTATTCCTTCCCCTCCGGGATGTATTGGTAGTAAAACCTGATCAGGTGGAACGATACATTTAGGTTCAACCATGGCCGACCATCAAGAGACTTAACGCAATGAAAACGCTAAGAGGCATTGCGAAACCAAATAAAAAGAAACACATTTCGAGGGAGGAGAAAGGGCAGACCAGGGTCCCCAAGGCTCAGGAGGAGTGGAAACCTTGGTGGATATTCGACTCGTCATCTCGGAGAAGAGCCGGCGCTGCAGAATCTGAGTGTCGGCCATGAAAGCTTCGGCATACAAGTTTTCTCGACGGAGGTAGTCGGCGAGATCAGGGTCGGCGGTGTTGGCCATCCAGTGGTAGGGATCTTGCAGCGTAATGCCATGAACTGAGTGAGTGAAAGGAACTTTTTTAGCAGCAGGTGGGGATTCGGAAGGCAGTGAGAAGATACGTTCTTTGCAGAGAGAGGAGAATAGCGAAGAAGACGATATGGAGGAACAAAGGATGGAATTTCTAGTGGGTTTTAGCAGGGATTTAAGAGCCATGGTGATTGAAAATGGCGGCGCAGTAATAATATTGCATTCATATATAATGTTGTGCAGATACCCAAAAAAAAAAACCCAAAATTTGGAAGATTTGTTTGAAAAATCACTCAACTTTAAAATAGAATTGATCTGTAAATTCTGTATAAACTGCAAGCAAGGGAAAACCAGTCATCCCCATCAACCAATGACAGTGTTGTTTATACAATTGAATAGAATTTAATGATATTTTTAGAAACAACAATCTTCTTCTTCTTCCTTTTTCGTTTTTGGGAATGAAACAACCTGTAATACACTTTCTCGTTTAGTATTTCACCACGAATTTCTTCTCAACAGCCCGTTCTTTTTGTCATGGAAGCCAAGCCATGATCCTATTAAAAACCCCATCTTCCCTGTTGCATCTTCTTCTTGTTGTGCTTTATGTTCTAACTTGTGGCTTTGGACTTGGAATTTTCTTCTTCGACATCCTGTATGCAGCCATGAAGTTTGCAGATTAGTTTAAAATTGGGAGCTGGCATAGTGTGACTATGTGGGAAGACCAAAAGGGAAGCATAAACTGACCGAGTTTTCAATCTTGTCGAAGTCATCATCGAAGCTTTCGTCACCATCATCTGGAAAAGAAATGACAACCAACATAAATACAAGTTCAGAAGGGGCTGGCTGTTAGAGCGTAGTTTAGCGGCCATTTTAAGAGGACAGGAATTAGTTTTCGCCCATTCTGTATTTTAGCAGTTGACAAGTGCATCCATTTACTTGAGTATGGTAATTTTCAAAAGGTCCCCACCATGAGACTAAACTGGATTCTGGGGTAAGAATTTTGCTGATGGAAGACCCCAAGGAGAGTAGCGTGTAGACCGAAACTAGTTAAATCGTCAAATGAATCGGATTCGGGGGAAGGTAATATAAGGGGCTTTGGCTCAGAGGAGGATCAACCTGAAAGAGGTTGTCAGGTCCTCTTGTGCCACCTTCTCGAGACTGCCTTTCTAAAGAAAGGAGGAGGAGTTTTTTCCTTAATAGACTTTGCTACGATCCATTGAAGAAAAAAGAAAGTCTAGAGTCTGGGGTGCCCCCCTTCTCGAGAGGATTTAAATTTACCTGCACCTCCTGCGTCACTGTCTTCAAGATCTCCCAAAAGAAAGGTATCCAAGTCTTGATCAGCAGACGATGGTTTGGAAGCTGTACCCTTCAGGTTCCTTTCCGCCTCTTCAACTTTTTCAGAGGCTCCAACCGACGGAGTTTGCTTGGCTTCATCATCAGCTTTTCGTTGTTCTTCAGATTTCAGCTTAATCTCTTCCATGTATTTCTTCTCGTATCTGTATATTTTAACCATTGAGGGTGTAAACCAGACTCATTTGATGATAAGTTAAGAAAACGAAATTAGATGCAGCAACCTGACAACAGTTCACTTGTCAGTGTGATACCTATTCTACATGGTATATTATGTCAGGCTATACCACCATAGTACAACTTTCATGATTCCTAAAGTTCTTATACCTTCAAATGTATTAATCACGTGTTTTCTCTAAACGAAAAACCTTGTATTATATATGTAAGCCAAATTGGTGCATACAACAACAGGGTTTGGTAGAAACTATCTTCCATAGTGATGAAGTCGACAATTAAATTTCTCAACATGATAGAAACACTGTATTAGATGCTTAGCATGTGGTGGCATATTTCTTCAATAAGAAACAACGAAGCATTCAAGATTGATCTTAAGATTGGGCGGAAGGAGCTTCAATTAAAAGAAATGCAACTTACGGAGCAACATGACTGCTAACAAGTGTAAAATATATCCTCCAGAATATCCTTTCTTTCATAATTCTCGGACATAGTTCATATCTTAATCTTGAAATTTCCTGAAAAAGAAATCAGAAATAAGGGCGTTTTTTTAAATTGTATTTGGATGAAATACGATTCAATTATGACTATCCAGCTAAAATGAATTCGATGATCTACTGTTGCTGATGAACCTGGACAAAAGCTAACAACTCTGAACTGACAGATGAATCAAGTGCAGCTAAAATTTATGTGTTCATCTGGGTCCGGTGTAACATTTCTGCATCATCTAGGATCAACAGTAACTAAAATTCTTGAAATAATCTCTCAAGCTTTCGGCATTACCACAGGCAAGAATTGGATTTCCAAACACTAACAAATATCTTAAGACAAGGCCACTTGGTACCAGTTAACCGATTGATATGAAAGGAACAAGCATTAAGCAATTGTATCAGTCCAATTCATCATTTCACAAGGGAGAAATGAAGACCACCAAAGTGAAAAGGCAACAAGTTGTGGTGTTTCCATTGTTTAACATAAGAACGGTTCTTTCTCCCATATGCCTCTTCACAATTCTTGCTTGTCGCACAAGTTCTCGTTTAAGAGAATGAGATCCATCTCTACTTAGCATGTGCGAGGCACCAATTAAATATACAGAAAAGGCTGGACGCCAGACTTTTGATTTTGAAAAGCATATTCAACAATAGCTTTTGAAAGTAGCAAGAGTGAATTTTATTTCGGACGAAGATATTTGCAATGATGCAAATGAGGTTTAGAACCAGAAAAATCAAATAGAAATTTAGAAAAGCAATGGATAGAAAATAAAAACCAAGTTTTCAGCCGAATCGTGATTTAGTTGAATTGAAGGACTCGGCTTGGTTCCCACCGTATTCAACCGTATGTTTTTCAATTATCTAAAAAATGTAGTTTTATTTGAAAGGGAACAGCGCAATATCCCCCGAATGATAAACAATTGGAAACCAAAGAAACAAATCACTAGAAACAAGAAATTCTAGCCAGATGCTACATGATTTGATTGAGTTTAACTAATATTACGAGGATATGAAACATTTTAATTTCACCTTGACATTGGTGAGAACCAACGTTGCATGCTGTTCTTGCCATTCCGTCAGATCCTTGCGCACATTCGAGGCTGTAACCGCAACGTCAGACGCTTCCGGTTCGTCTACATTAATCATAAAAAAACAATCCCCATCAATTACGCATATAGAATAATTACCAATCCAAAAATTGACCATCACATTCGCCAAAACTGCTCCTACCTTGGATCGGAAAGTTCTGGAAAGTAGTTGGAGTGAAGCCACTCACAAATTCTCTCAGATCGTCGTTGAGGCCAAACTTTTCAAGCTCGGACTGAGAATGAGGCGAGGGAGCAGATAAATTGGGAATGGAAATGGAAGAAAGCTGAGGAGGAATAATGTCGGCGACGTTGAGTGATTTGAGGTGATCGGCCTGCTTGATGGCGGCCGTTTTGATGAGATCAGCAGTCTTGGAGGCCTCGGCGGCGAGCTCCTTGGACTTTTTGGCAGTTTCCGAGACCAATTCGGAGAGTGTGGAGGTCGACGTTAAGGTCTGGGATTTCTTAGCCGCTTCTTCTGCGAACGATTTCGCTCTCTTCCATAAATCCTCCATTGACTCTTCTTCTTCTTCTTCTTCTTCTTCTCGCTTCGTTTCTCTGTCTGTTCTGCTCTGTCCACTATTGTTACCGGTACGCGCTTTATTTACATTTACAAGCCTTTATTCCGCTAAATTAATTATTTGGATTCTCCATTTTGGGCTTTGGCCCATTTACCTTCCTGCTAATCTAATGATTTGGACCCTCCATATATGGGCTTAGGCCCATTTATTTTCCCGCTATATTAATTAATCGGATTGTCCTTTTTGGGCTTCGGCCCATTTCTTTTCCCGCTAAATTATTAAACATGTTTTTTTTTTTGTTTTTTTTTTATTTTGCTCAAATAAAATATAATTAAATAAAAGAAGCATTAAAATAATGTTTTGAATTAAACTATTGTTTAATAGAGAAATGATAGTTACATACATCCACAGACCTCCAAGTGGGTCCCACTAATTTAATAATTTTAATTATAGTAAGCCTCTAAACTAGTCTGCCATTTTGTCGGCCATAACATATGGGCTAAGAATGCAAATCCTTCATTTTCATGGGTTAAAATTGGAAAAGGAAAAGAAATGAAGGGGTTAGATTAGAAATTGAGATAACTTCAAGGACGTTGGCGAGACATGTTATGTACGGGACGGCGCCGTTTTATGTGAGCGTAGTCCATTGTGAAAAACCGCGACGACATGTCGGCCACATTCCCCCACTTTCTCCCCTTCCCTTTGTTTTCCTCCCTTTTATAAGCCTGACCTGTAAATATGACGATTAAATTAATACCATATCTCAAATGCATTCATTAAAAAATATTACCAAATATTCACATCATCAATATCCATAACCAGGATGTGACAACACGATGAACGATAATTGATATATACTCATTTTAGGCAGAAATTCAATCTACAAACTCTGACCGCTTATTGATATGACAACATGATGAACGGTAATTGAAATGTACTCATTACACCGCTTATTGATGTGACAACACGATGAACCAACGAACGAATGGCTAAAGTAAAAGTAAAAGGCCAACTAATCAAAACAAAAGATATTCATGAAGTGATTTGAGAACAAAAATGGCAGGAAAATTATCTGAAAGTGAAGATATGTATCAAAAATGTGAAAAAGAAAGTACATTTATTTAATGCATTGTTACTCAAAAATGGCAAGCCCACAAATTTTCCATCTTCAAGGAAGCAATGTTGCAGCAGTTTTTAGTCAAAGAACTGGCAAGATTACAGATATGACAGGAATGAGTTATTTAAGAACTTGCATACTTTTGGGCTTTCTTTGAAATTGCATACCTGAAACAGTTTCCTTCTGCTCATCTTCTTGTTTGGAAGCTTGGAATCCGTGAGCTTCAACAACCTGTTTCCAGGAAAATCATCAGTGATGTATATCACAACTTCAACAGCAGAGAATGAACACAGATAGAACAATGCCCAGATGGTTTAGAAGAGTTGGATATTAACAATGAAAAACTTAGTTCAAAAATGTTTTTACGAATTCGAAAAATCATTCCAAACCGGCTCTACGATTATGTTCGTAATGTTCTTTTATAACTTATTTCAAAAGCATTCTCAAACCAACCTTCGCTTCTTCCAACATTTTGAACTTCCTTGACAAAACGAGACGAGGAGAATGCACTGCTTCAGTTGCTGCAAGATCACAAATAACTCCATTAAGAACAAGAACAAAATGTAGAAGAAGGAGAGAGACATGACTGAATATACACACCTTGCAAGGGAGAAGACTGGTCAAGAGCATGCGAGGAAGCAAAAGGTACCGAGAGAATCAATAGAGAAACACAGCAAAGCATGGCCATGAGTATCAAACCCATATCTTAAGAGTATAAGACTTCCTGCCTATGTGTGTGGCCAAACAAATATATATATAATACACAAAGAGAAACAGAGAGAGAAAGAGGAAAACAATATGTTATTGTTCACTTTTGGGGAGGATGGCTTTACACAATTCAGGTAACTCTTGTCACCACTATACGCAGTCACTTTTTTGTTTATATATTATTCTATAGCAGTGTTGAGCACCACAAGTTTTTCCCACTCCACCAACCAAAGGCTTTTCTTTCTAAGAAATTTATTTTTCTTTCACGTTGTGTTTGGTTTAGCTAAAGCATGAAAACACTCGGGCAAGCCAATAAGGGCGCAACCCAACTGACTGAGACCTTTTACAGTCACCATGCTGGTTAAGAACAAGTAAAACAATGTTGATCTGCAGCCTTTTCATTTTTATAATCACTCAGTGTTCGAACCAACAAACATGTATTTCAGCTAATCTTGTAAAATGGCCTTACATTATGTAAACATTCTCTGTAAGTTGAGCAGAAATGGGCCTTTTTTTGAACTTAAATTCTATAACCTGTTGATATTGCATATGAAAGAGAGCCGGACAAATGAAGGTAAAGCGGTAGAGATTGACTATATTCATGTGACTCGGCAGGAAAAAAAACTTGGGTAAAATGCATATTTTAGACACTAAACCTATGGGTATAAATTAGTAGAAGCTTTCAGAATCTACAGCATAGAAGGCCTTGTCTCCAACCCCGAAGCTTCCGTAGATGTTTTTGATCAGCTTTAGCCATTCTAACAGGACTACTGTTCCATTCGGATTGTAATCTGCAGGAAGATAAACATTTTGCTCCCATTAATTCCGGACGATAATGATTAGAAGAAATATGTACACATTAAGAGATATCAAGAGTTTTACATGGGAAAGGCAAAGGAATGGGTGCTGGTCGTGCTGCTATCAGAACGACGAGAGATGCTGCCGGAGTAACCTATACGGCCCGAATTAGACAACAGACTCCCCAAAGATACCATAGAAGAGACACTTGCTTCACCTACGCCATGTTGAACTTGGCTTGAAACTGAATAACTATCAGAATTCCCAACTTCTGCCTTATGTAAGTCTTCATATTCCACTCGTAGCAAGTCTTCATACTCCACACGTTTCGGGTTACTACTGTAATCGTAACAATGTGCTTGACATTTGTCAGCTGAAGCTAAGCGGTTGGAGCTGCTACTGTCTAGGCAATCCACCGAGGCACTGGTCGAAGGAGCTGAAGAGTTCAAGCCACCATTATCACAATGCTCCAGTCCATCACTAGCTGTGGATGCAAAAGAATTGAAATCAAAAGTAATGTTTCCTTTGTCCATTTTACTATTGTATGATATATCCTCCGCAGAATCGCTATTTTTGGGCTCTTCAGCTGCTAGATCTGAAGAAGCTACTTCTGATATTTCTTCTCTGGTGTCACTATAAGATTCTTCAGCTACACATGCCAAAACAGGGACTTCCAAACTCGTAGTTTCGATAAAAACCTGCATGAGAAGAAACAAATACAGTCACCTTCTAACACACAAAATTCCCACAAGCATAATTACATCATGACTAAGTTGAAAGAGCCAACAAGAACTCAAATTAAAAAGTTTCAGTCATAGCCAACCCCCACCCCAACATTCTTTGGCTACAACTAGAGAGTTTTAAACTAACATACTGATAACAACGTCCAGAGCTCCAAGAGATCCATACAATTAATTGTGCATAACACTCGACGAATGATAATGCGAGCTAGAAACAAGAACAGTAATGAAAGTCTCAACTAAAGACAGTGATACATGTTCTTGATGTAGGTTGAACATCCATTATGCCAAAAGAAAAAACATACCTGTTCAGACTGAGGGTTAGGCTCATTCTTATTGTTGGTCAATGGCTTTACGCTCTCTGTAAACAAGTCTGTCATTGGAAGATTTAGTATATCATTGTCAGTAAAATAATCCACATCATATTCTGCCTCGGGTGTTCTAGCCAAATCCTCGAAATCGCTTTGTTTGGGTGAATCCTTTTTGCCAAAAGATTCCGAATGCTCTGAATCGTCGGAAGCAAACATATCTCCTTCCTCTAGCGTTCTTGCCAACTCGTCCTTCCAATCTTCCTCAGGAGGGAGAATGACACAGACAGCCTTCTCATCCAAACTACTACTACCACACAAGAGCTTATCTCGAGAAGGTACTCCGTCGTCAATACAAATATCCTTCACAATATTGCAGCTGTTTTCTTTGTAACAAACTATGAGTTCAGGAAGTTGACATTCAACAATACTCTTTTCCATGTATAACTCCGAGTCTTCCTCAAACAAGTCTACTTTAGAAGAATTAGTGATTGATGGCACAAAGGCTTTAACTTCGTCAAATTCATTAAGATCATCAAGACCTACAACACTATTCTTGTGATTGGCATCCTCGTTACTTTTGAGAAGGCCTGTAAAATCTTTATGATCTTCAAGCTTCATCCCACCAGAGTCAAGAGCATCGTTATCACACTCAAAAGACTTGGGAATAAACTTGGGGCTAGCATCTGAATGGGAAACTACAGGCTCGCCCTCTGTAAAAGAAATAAAATATAAATCCCAAGGAAAACTTTATTTTCTTCGACTTTTTATGGGCAGGGGCAAAGGGGAAGAATATGAGATTTACCAACTTTCATGATTCACATGGACTGTTCAAATGGAATTTGTCAAGACATGCATCAAAGTTGGCTTGATATGGCTATATTTGGAGAGTCTGTCATTCATAGGCTAGAAAAGTAAAGTGAAAAAAACTAAGTCAAAACCTTCCACCATCGTACAATTACACAATAAATTATCAATTTACATAGCAGAAGGTCAGCTCAAGAAGTATAAAAGAGGCCAACTTTTAAGTTGTAAGTCACAATTAGAAAGTTTTCGTAGCAATGGTTCCCAGAAGTCAAAAAACAAGATTATCATTCCACTGACTATAAGCAGGGAAAGGAAAAAAAAGAAGCCACTCGAGCACTTTCACTACTTAGAATCAAGAACTCGTGGTGCTTTTCTAATATATTATCCTACCTCGCAAGGGAGATCCAGTTAAGAACTTAATTTCCAAGGGGTAGACTAAATACCCTAAACAATAAACTGTACACATGGAATTTCAGTGTCCTGTTCATACAAAAAGACAGAAATTTTGAATTTATGAAATCTTCCTAAATCTGAAAGGAAAAACAAAACCCAAATCAAAATATTAAATCGAAGTGTATCCGATATCGGCCCCTCTCAAAGTACCCACCACCCTTTTTTGTCTGGTAGTCCCAATTAGATCCGACCATTTTGTAAGTTAATCTTAAAACTAGAAACAGAAAACTACAAACAAGGCTGAAAGAAAATTCAAAAGAACTGAGAGAAAACCCATATAGGAATTCACCAATTCTGTGCATTGCTGGGTGGAATCAAAAGAGAGAATCCAAATCATGGTATGAATCAGAAATCTAACTAACAAAGCAGATCTAATTAACCCCATTAAAAAAATGCTACATCTGTTGACTTATATAAGAGCTACAAAAGGGAAATCCCAAATTTCCTTTCTCCATGATCATGGAAGAGAGGTTATCCAGTTGGTGCTTCAACCAAAAGGGGTTAAAAATAAATGGAGAAGAAAAGCATAAAGTGGAAAATGATTGAGGAACCATAATCCCTTGCACATCAGTTAATACAGAAACAAGAAAAGAGAAATGAAGATGCAAGAAAAGGAGAGAAAACCTTGAGGCCTAGAGGAACAGAGGAAAATGCACTCCACAATATGTTACAGCAACTGTACAGAAGAACCCCCCAAAGCAACCAGAAACGAAGAGGGGCGCCTGAATAGACATCAAAGATTATTACGACAGGCAGATGAGAGAAGGAATAAATGGGGTATGGACATAGAGAGGGGGAGAAATGAGTTGTTATTATCTGTTTCACTGATTGAAGGTCAACCATGAAAGCCACTGTCTCTTTCTCTCTCTCTGCAATTAATAAGGGAAGTGAACGGCTAGTAAAATGGGTTGTTTTTTAGCACTTCCATGCATTCTCCAACCCTTTTTAAATTCTTTTTTAAAACTAAAACCCAGATTCAAGAACTTCCCATCTCCCCAAACATGGAAATATTTTCCCGGAAAAACGAAAAAGAATGATACCTCACGCTCACACATACACACAACATTCAAATTTCAGAGCGGCTAAAAATTTGTTTTACCTAACGCGATTGATTCTGGTTTCCAATCCCGAAGAAGCCGCTGTGATATATCTTTTTTTAAATCGATTGAGCAGCAATCCCGAATACCCTCCTGCAGTCACTCCCGGTAAAATTGGAGAGAGCTTGATTTGATTAGACCATCCTCATCTAAAATTAACGAAGAATCAACTGTTGAGAGACACCTTTTCTGGAGCTGACATTCATGTCAGAAAGTGTACCCTAGAGGGCTTTTTTCTCTTGCTCCAAAGTCAAAACCGGACATGTTTCCATTTCCACCACTCCAAAAGCAACCGCCGGAGAATTTATATTTGTTTTTGTTAATCGGTTCTTCTTTTTTGCCGGCCAAAGTGAGAACAGGGGGAACTAGCTGGACGGAGTTGTTTCCTTGGGAGTGCGATTAGAGTACTCTACCAGGCTGGAGTTAATGTGCTTGATTTCGACTGCTGCTTCCTTCCCTCGTCTCTTTGGATTTTACCCGAAACCTCTGTTCTGCGCAGGTTTCCGGATCAGAACCGGCCCCCCCTTTTTCTCTATGTTTTTGTGTGTCCGTTTTTCTTTGCTATCATTCTGATTTGGGCATTGGGATTCTCAATTCATCACTCTGATATCATATTATCATATTAGATGGATTCCCACTCTCCACAACCCTATCATATTAATTTTGCTTTAGGCCAGTATGATATTATCTACTACCTTTCATGATTTTGTTTTTAGCTTCTTGAAAAATCTTCGTACTAGGAGATATAATTTTTTGATTATAAATCCATGATCATTCCCTAAATGAGCCGATTAAGGGGGAGACATTAGCCGATTAAGAGGAGGCATACTTCGAGGGAAGGTGTTGAATGATGAAAGTCTCACATCAATTAATTTAGAAAATGATTATGAGTTTATAATCAAGAATACTATCTCTATTACAAGGTTTTTTGGGAAGTTCAATGCAAAGCCCAGTAAACAATATCATACCATTGTAGAGAGTCGTGTTCGTCTAATAGTATTGTCATATTTTTTTTTATGTACCACAAATATTGATTACAAGCATTAAATATTTTTAATTTTTTTTACCATAAATGTTTTACCATAAAATGTCAACCATTAGATTATCATATATAGGTTTAAAAAGTAAAATAAGTTCATATTACAAATATGATAGGATGAATATCCACGTGGAATTTTTTTTTATATAAAAAAAAGTTATCTCATAACCATTTCCATTGACATATTTGTCTGATTGTCACTTGAAGTTATTATTCGATTACATTTAGGTCTTCGCTAGCTCTAACTTTTATTATAATAATATTAATTAATTCAACTCTTTGGGACAAATTTGTTTGACAAATTTTTAAAGCAATTTTTGGATTGTTTCACGCAAATCGTTTCTAATGATCCAACCTAGTAATAAAATAGTATTATTAGGGAAACTATTTGTTTAAGTAAATTTGTAATATAAAATGACACGTATGCATGAACGTGAGAATTGACACATGATGTGGCATGTCCACGCATTCTTACGAGTGGTGTGGCTTGTGTTGAGTAGCTTTCTTCTTTATTAGGGAGGAGTTTCCACGCCCTTATAAAGAATGTTTTGTTCTCCTTTCCCACCCACATGAGATCTCACAATTCACCCCCTTGGAGACCTAGCGTCCTCACTAGCACACTGTTCCGTGACAGGCTCTGATATCATTTGTAACAGTACAAGTCTACCACTAGTAGATATTGCCTGCTTTTAAAACGCGTCTACTAGGAAGAGGTTTTTACACCCTTAAAAGGAAGGTTTCAGATCTCACAATGTGACTTAAGTGTTGACCTGATACAACTTAACGATAAAAATATTGGATATGAAACTAAGAACGGTCGGAAACAGAGACCGAGCAGTTGTAAAAGAACCTAAAATGAAGTTGGGATTGGAAAGGTAGGCAGGCATGATAAAAGGGAAGCGAAAAAAGGAGCAAGAAATGTAGGCGTAGGGTCCTCAGAGAATCCATGGGAAAGAAGACATCATGAACAACTGACTGTCTGTTTGTCTGTAAGGAAGGGGGAAGGGAAGAAAGAGAGACAAAGATTATGTTATGTTTGGAGTTTATAGTCAAAACGCAACCTTAATACTGCAAAACGACAGGAACAGAGAATAGAAGTAGAGATGGGTTCAAATGAGTAAGGACAAAAACAAGAACACAAGAGACCATTTTATCAGAGCCGGTCGGCCACCCAATTTTCCACTCCTACTCAAGATCTTCCTTCCCTTACAACATTCAAAGGCAATTTTGATGGATAATAGAATAGAAAGCAAATGTGCCTGCAACTCTATAACCAAGTTCAATACATATAACTAAATCATAATCCAGACCTTAAAGATTCGTTTCATTAGCATTGTCGGGGTCGTTGATACCTCGTAAATACAGAACATAGTAAAAATACCTCGACTCGACGTATCTTGAGGCTATTACTGTCCCTGTCACAACCTTCACTAGCTCGCACCTGGGTGTTCGAACCACTTGGCTGTTGAGACTTCTTGGACCGTAACCAGTGGGAGGAGAACTTTGTATTACTAGAAATGATGCAGAATTACGTTCTTCATTTTTCACTGAGTGCCGACACACACACATATATAGATGACTTGGGACATTCCCTAATGTCATTCATGTATCAAAAACAGGTACTTAATTAAGCATTATTATTCATGTATGAACCTAATACATGTAACTAAGAATGCATGTATTATCTACCGATGAATCTTCATGTACATGTATCTACTCATAATGTACCTATGAAGGACTCTTCAATATGAATAGCAAGTCAAAATACTCTAAGGCTTATAATCTCACTTGCATCGTAGAAATCATGGACTATCTATCAACTTGACGTGAAGTCGGCTTTCTTACGTGGAAAGCTTTAAGAAGTGTAAGTGAAGCAATCCAATGATTTGGTGTAGAAAGATAAAAGAGGATAAAGTATATAGGTTGAAGAAAGCTCTGAATCAAGCTTCGAGGGCAAAGTACTATGGCATTGATTCGCATTTTGAAAAGATGGAATTCGTTTTAGGTGAAGATTGAAAAGGGAGGTTCATTCAATGAAGAATGTTTGAAGTTTTTAAGAAGAGCACGATAAAGAAATTTAAATGACAGATCTTGCTCAAATGAGACATTTCTCATTTATTTTCTGTCTCATTTATTTTTGGAGTAGACGTTACTCAAACGGTAGTTGGCAACTTTATCTATTAGAAGAAATAGGCTCAAGGGGTGCTTAAATGTTTTAAAGTGGATGAACGCACATTTGGAACTCCATCAGAATTGGGTTTGAAGCTGCGAGAGGTTAATAATAATTACTTTATCTCAACGAGACCAAACATGATGAATGATGTTAGCATGATAAATAGGTACATGGAGCATCCAATGGCTGTTACTATGCAGGTGATATGCATATGAATGACCACAAAAGCACTTCAAGAAGTGTTTTCATGATAAGTTTAGGAGTGATCTTCAAGGAAACAGCCGATTGTGACACTCTCAACTACAAAAACAGACCACTTCGGTTGTTATCTATTGTGATAATTTGTCAACTATCAAGTTGTCTTAAAATCTTGTGTTGCAAAGAAGAGTAACTAGATCTATGTTCGGTTTCATTTCTCGAGTGATTTGTGTAAAGAAGGCATTGTTGAGCTCGAGTTTTATAGAAGTGATGAGCAAAACGTGTATCTATTCACGAAGCCCTTAAAACCACTATTGTTCGAGAAGAGTCACTTATAGGTACATGTATGAGTGAGTAGATACATGTACATGAAGATTCATTGGTTGACAACAAATTGTTATGTGCATTCTTCTTAGTGACATGTATTAGGTTCGAAGACAAAGCACCTCTTGCATTGATGCAAACAAGCAATTGGCACAGACAAGAAAGTCAATTCATCAGACAGATATTTCTCACTACCCAAAATGCCTAAAAACTTCAATTCTTTCTCAAATTGGAACCGGGAAACTTTATATTTCAAAAAAGAAGAGTTCTTAGAAGGTCAAGATTGCAAATTACCGACCTGGGTCATTGAGAAATCAACTAGAAATTGAGCTGGACATGCATGTGCCATAGGATTCCGAGAGTTTCCACAGAATCCCTCAGCTGCAGAGACCCAACCTCATCGAGGGTATCGTAAGCGACGGCGGTGGCACAAGGCCATAGCATTCGAGGGGGGGGGGGGGGG